CTCCAGCCCCTACACCCCCTCCCTATCTCTGTCACCTCCTCCAGCCCCTACACCCCCTCCCTATCTCTGTCACCATCTCCAGCCTCACTATCCTCTAAGATGTCTGTGCTCCTCCAATTCGGAGCTCAGTGCACACCCGCAGTTTCCATTGCTCCACCATCGGTAACCATGTCTTGATACCTGGGCCCTAAGCTCTGGGATGTCGCCCCTAAACATCTCTGCCTTTTCCTTCTCCTTTGTGACACAACTTTAAAACTGCAACTCTGTCTCTCTCTCTCTCTTTCTCTCTGTCTCTGCTTTTCTCTCTCTTTCTCTTTCTCTCTCTCTCTCTCTCTCCCTATCCTCGTGTCCATCTTTCTCATTACCTTGTGTCCTGAGAAGTTTGCATTTTTAAATTGTTTTCACTAATTTACTGTTTGCCCTTCAGACTGCATTGGTCGTGGAAGCTGTGAAGAAGGATCAACTGGGGGACCTTTCTTCCGCTCTCTCCCTCTACTGCAAGTCACTGGAGTACTTTGTTCCTGCTCTGCACTGTGAGTCCTCGCTGCTCTGTCTTGTGGCCAGGGCTCAGCGGATAGTGAGCTCTCTCTAAGACCCCATTCCCTTTTGGACAGGACTTACTGAGACCCTGCCCATTCGATACCACCAGGAGACCATATAAACCCATTGAGCTGACCTGTATCTTAACTCCATCACCTTAAGTGGCTCAGTTTCCCTTGGTTGTGTAAAATTCAATTGACCAGAGATTTACCATGAGTCAGCATCTAATTTCCTTGTAAGGAAGAGCAGCCCCTACCCTGGCTTGTGTGTAGGAATGTTTCCTCAAGCCCTCTCCAGAATAGACTGGATTTTAAGCCTATTCCATTGTCCCAGAATCCCCCAACAGAACACAGCATCTATCTAACTCATCAAATCCACTCTAAAAGTTAAACACCTTAGTAACATTGTCTGTGAACACCCCTTCACCGTCACTGGGTCCAAAACCTACAATACCATCCCTAGCAGCACTACTACAGTGCATGGACTGTGGTAGTTTAAGAAGGCAGCTCACCATTGCCTTCTCCAGGGGCAAGTAGGGACAGGCCATAAATGCTGGCCCAGCTAACAATGCCCATGTGCCATGAGTGAATGTTTATAAAAGTATATATTATCATCTCATGACTGTTTTTCCTTGAAACTGTCTGAAGAGACTGAGGGTGTGGTGGTGGACGGGGACACCTATTGATGATGCTGGGTCTCTGAAAGAGCATTCCGAATAGACCACCTTCCCTACCTTCACTCTGCCTCCCCAACTGTCCGATCCTGTCAAGTGTGAGTGTTCTTTGCAGGGTCTTACTTAAGTCCAGAGCTTTGAGTGTAACAGGAGTGATTCAATACCAAATGATGTGCTAAATTATTAATCAAACTCATACCGTAATTGGCCAGCCCACGTGTGAGGCTATTCGTTGTCCTGCCTTATAAGTCAAGGCTTGTCAAATTGTAAGCAAATTAATTGTAGCAAATCTCAGGAAGAACAAAAAATACAAGAAAAACGTGCACCTCCCCTACTTTGGCCAGCAGGGGAGAAAAGTCTGATCCGCAGTTAGTAATATTACTGCTGACCCGATGGATTACTTCATGTAATCAAAGCTCAATCACACAAATCAACATCTGCAACATAACTTTTAAAAGCTGCATTCCAGGTAAAGATGCCACAGTCCCAGAGGACTGCTGTGTCATGGGAGAGGGATTGGGATTCCAACCTGAGAGTCACCACGTGAAATTATAAAGGAGGGACCATCACAGTAACCTCAGCCCGTGTGAGAATTGAACTCACGCTGTTGGTGTCACTCTTTGTTGCAGATTCAGCTGTCCAGCCAACTGAGCTAATCCAGCCCCGCAGGGTTGCTTAAAAATCAAAGCAGTGTAGAAATAAAATGCAGAAGTTAGTGATTGAAGGCTTTTAATGTGTCTATCTAATTCCCTTTCCTTTGAAAGTTACTGTTGAACCAGCACCCTCCAGCCTTGAATGCAGTATGTTCGCCATCACAAGGATGGGACCTGCGCTGGCAGTGAATCTGTATTGTGTATGAATGGCAGGTGCTAGCACAATTCTGCTAATCTTGATTTGGTATTTCTGATTTAATGCATTAGATGGATCAGATCGACCACAGAAGGCAGCCATCAGGTCAAAGGTAAGAGAGTGTTGCCTCTTGCTTTTTAGGAATGGCCCGTGTGTGATTCCCTTTCCTTCCTACACAGCCTCCCCCCTCCACTTACATAAACTTAAAGCTCATCCCAAACCTCTCAGCTCCATGGCCAATGATCCACATTGTTTTCCAATTCACCAACACCAGGACATAACAAACCAGGAGCAGGAGTAGGCCATTCAGCCCCTTGAGTCTGCTACACCATTTACTACAATTGTGGCTGATCTCATCTCGGCCTTAACGCTACTTTCTTGCCCGCTCCCCATAACCCTTGTACCTGTTACAGATTAAAAATCTGCCTCTCTTACATTTACTCTGTGTCCCAGCTTCATCACATTCCACAGATTCACAACCCTTTGAAAGAAGCCTGGTTTAAATCTGCTACCTTGTCGACTAAAGCTATAACCTCTCATTCTAGATTGCCCCGCAAGAGAAAACGTCCTCTCTACATCTCCTTTGTCAATCCCCTTTAGCATCTGGTATACCTCAATTAGATCTCTTCTCGTCCTTCTAAACTCTAGTGTCTCCATAAGATAAACTCCTCAACTCTGGAATTAATCCAATAAACCATCTCTAAACTGCCTTCAAGGCAATTATATCTTTCCTCACACAAGGGGACCAGAACTGGACACAGTACTCCTAATGCAGTCTCACCAGTGCCTTGTATAGTTGCACATTGGCAAGTACAAGCTCTGAGCCAGGACTTATCATTGGAACTTGTAAAAAATCCTTCTTAACACATTGTAAATGTACCTTCTGAGCATGTTGACACATTCATGATCACACAGTGTGCCATCATTGACTAAACACTAATCTGTGCCTGTACAAGACCATGTTACTGGTTTAAAGTTAGTAGCTGTTCACCAACACAAATCCCATAAGTGATTAATTGTGAGATTATGTTATAGTGATGGTTTGGAATTTGCTGAAAATTTGCACCAAAACCATGTAGTATCAAATGGAATGCTGAATATTTGCTTCAAAAAGATTGAGGAGCTTGAGTGGTGGCATGGTGGCTCAGTGGCTAGCACTGTTGCCTCACAGCGCCAGGGACCCGGGTTTGATACCACCCTCGGGCGACTGCCTGTCTGGAGTTTGCACATTCTCACCGTGTCTGCGTGAGTTTCCTCCGGGTGCTCCGGTTTCCTCCCACAGTCCAAAGATGTGCAGGTTAGGGTGGATGGGCCATGCTAAATTGCCCCGTAGTGCCCAGGGATGTACAGGCTAGGTTGGTTAGCATGGGAAATGCAGGGTTACAGGGATAGGGTAAGGGGTTGTGTCTGGGCGGAATGCTCTTCAGAGGGTTGGTGTGGACTTGATGGACCGAATAATCTGCTTCCACACTGTAGAGATTTTGTGATTCTAAGATTGAGGCTCAAGAGATTGGTGCCTGTTCTCATATGGAGGTGAATTGAAGCATTGAACAGCCACGAGGTTTTAGAGTCTTATTGAACCAAGAAGCCTTGATCGTAATGAATGGTGGAATAGGTTTGAGGGGCCAAAGGCCTACTCTAGCCCCTGATTTGTGTGAAATTTCCTGGCCAGCCCGCACATTTATTTTTTCCTTTTAATTGTTGCTAGGTAACTCAGTACCTCTCCAGGGCAGAGGAGTTGAAGATATTGGTTGCTAAGAGCAACAGGGCTAACTTTGAACAGGCTAAGTCTGCGAGGGACATTCTGAAAGGTAAGGATGCCTCTCCCAGAAATCAGCACAAGTTTCAAACCAAAGTTTCCACCCTGAGCATTATTCCTGACTTGTACTTTCCCTTGTTATCCCTCCCGTTTCCATGCTGCAAAGCCTGAGGAGCCATGTTCTGGCATACGATACTAAAAATCAAAAGCCATTGATGCTCATGGGCTTTGACAATACCCATTAAAGCGATTGGAAGAGGGGTTGAAGAAAGCTGGGCAGGTGATGGCCTGGTGGTATTATTGCTGGACTATTAATTAAGAGACACAGCTAATGTTTTGACGATTTGGGTTCGAATCCCACCATGGCAGGTGGTGGAATTTGAATTCAATGAACATCTGGGATTAAGAGTCTAACCGTAACCACTGCCGATTGTCAGGGAAAACCCATTTGGTTCACTAATGTCCTTTAGGGAAGGAAACTGGCATCCTTACCTGGTCTGGCCTACATGTGACTCCAGACCCACAGCAATGTGGTTGACTCTGAGCAATTGACTCTGCCCTCTGGGCAATTAGGGATGGGCAATAAATGTTCTCATTCATGAGCACCGTCCATAAGCACCTAATTCCATGAAGGAATTAAGAAAAAAGAGTTTAAATCAATCTGTTCAGACATGGAGTAGGTGGAACTTGAAACTGGACCTTCTGGCCCAAAGGCAGGGGCACTGCCACTATGCCACAAGAGCCTTGCTGAAATAAGAGTTTTCGCGATGCCCGATCAATAAAGTGGAAGTCATTCAGCCCCTTGAACCTGCTCCACGTTCAGTTTGAGCTTGGCTGGGCTGTATCACAGCAGTCTGTACTCCCACCTCCCAGAGCCCTAACACTCCCCACTTCCGATTTTTGTTTCAGAAATGTCCCAGGACAAACCGCGACTCCTGGCCGCACTGGAGATCAGTTCTGCTGCAATCGCCAAGGTAAGACTGGGTTGACATTCCCTGAGCTTTTAGGAAGCACCGTGTCGAATTGGGCATGTGTGTTCAGAGGGAAAGGAGCGGGGAAGATGATTTGGCTAAACGAGTGTCTTATCCAATTATGGCCTCACCTCCACTTCCCTGTCAGTTTGCCTTTGTCAATCCACCTGACTCAGCCTTAAGTGTATTCAGTGGCTCTGCCTCTGCTGCTCACTGGGTCAAAGACCAACAATCCTCTGAGAGAGAATATCTTCCTCACCTCCATCCCCCTCATTCTGAAGCTATGCCCCGTAAGTACAGACTCCCCCACAAGAGGGAGCAGCTTCTCAGCTTCTACTTTGTCAAACACAACCTAGAATTCTATATAAGATAACAAGGTGTAGAGCTGGAGGAACACAGCAGGCAGGGCAGCATCAGAGGAGCAGGAAAGCTGATGCTTCAGGTCAGACCTGAGGTTCACTTGACTGATTTCTATCATAGAATCCCTCATAGATAGTAGGAAGCAGGAAGTAATATTGGGAGGATGCTTGTCTGACTGGATGCCTGTGATTAGTGGTGTGCCTCAGGGGTTGGTGCTGGGCCCTTGCTCTTTGCTTTCTAGATCAATGATTTGGATGAGAATGTACTAGGCATGATTAGTAAGTTTGTGGATTACACTGAAATAGGCGGTATTGTGGACAGTGAGGAAGGTTATCAGAAATTGCAGCAGGATCTTGATCAGCTGGGGAAGTGGGCCGAGAAATGGCAAATGGAGTTTAATATGGAATAGTGTGAGGTGTTGCAGTTTGGAAAGTCAAATGAAGGTAGGAGTTATGTAGTGAATGGTAGGGCCTTAAGGAGTGTAGTGGAACAGAGGGACCTTGGAGTTCAGGTGCATGGTTCTCTGAAAGTGGAGTCACAGGTAGACAGGGCAGTGAAGAAGGCTTTTGGCACACTGGCCTTCATTAGGCAGGGCACTGAGTATAGAAGTTGGGAAGTTATGTTGCGGTTGTACAGGACGTTGGTGAGGCCACACTTGGAGTATTGAGTTCAGTTTTGGTCACCTTTCTGAAGGATGTTGTTAAACTGGAAAGATTGCAGAAGAAATTTACAAGAATGTTGCGGAGACTCAAGGGACTGAGTTATAGGGAGAGGCTGGACGAGCTAGGACTTTTTTCTTTAGCATGTAGGAGACTGAGGGGGGATCTTATAGAAGTGAATAAGATCATGAGAGGCATGGATAGGGTGAATGCACTCAGTCTTTTTCCCAGGGTTAGGGAATCGAGACTAGAGGGCATCAGTTTAAGGTAAGAGGGGAAAGAATACATGGGAACCTGAGGGGCAACTTTTTTACACAAGAGGGTGGTACACATATGGAATGAGCTGCCAGTGGAAGTGGTTGAGGTGGGTACATTAACAACATTGAAAAGGCATTAGGCGAATACATGGATAGGAAAGGTTTAGAAGGATATGGGCCAAGGGCAGGGAAATGGGGTTAGTGTGGATGGACGTTTTGGTCAGCATGGACCTGTTTGGGCTGAAGGGCCAATCTCTGTGCTATAGGACTCTATGACTATGACTCTAGTCCCATGCCATGTTCCTTATTGAGATTCCTATTGAATCCATTTCCTTAAATTCAACAAAAACCTGGAATTAAGAGTCTAATGATGACCATGAAACCATTGTCGACTGTTGGAAAAACCTATCTGGTTCACTAATGTTTTTTAGGGAGGGAAACTGCCATTCTTGCCTTAGTCTGGACTGTATGTGCCTCCAGACCCAAGCAATGGGGTTGTCTCTTAACTGCCCTCTGGGCAATTAGGAATGGGCAAGAAATGTGATGCTCTCGTCCCATGAGTGAATAAAACGCTTTCTGGCTCATTTCAGATCTGATTTCTCCCAGTTTTTCACTATCTTCCACAGGTTTTCCTGGGGAACCAGGAGAACAGAAGAGAAATCTGTTTCATTTTCTCAGGAGGACAGACTGACAGCTGAATCTGTTCACATTGGAAAAGGGGAAGACTGAAGGGGGTATTTTCTGTTACTCAGAAATAAAGTGCTGCACGGGAACGCCGGCCTAAAACTCAAATCTCTGGAGTGGGAGTTAAACTCTCAGCCTTCAGACTCCAAGGCGAGAATGCTGCTCACTGAGCCGCAACTAAAATCAATACAATATGCAGTGAAAGAGCAGGATAGTTCCACTGCACTCGAGAGATTAAAACGAATTGTTTTAGGAAGCATTGACCTCCCTGAACAGGTATTCCAGAGGCCCTAGACTAACGCTCCAGGAATAAAATCAGTAAATGCTGGAGAAATGCAGCAGGTCGAAATGTTAGCACTGTTTCTCTCCCCTCAGATGGTTTTGATTGATTTTATTGTTGTCACATGTACTGAGATACAGTGAAAAGTATTGTTTTGCGTGCTGTACAGGCAGATCGTACCATACAAAGTGCATCAGGGTAATAGAACAGAGTGCAGAATACAGTGTTACAGCTGCACGAAAGATGCAGAGAGAGAGATCAGAAGTAACATTTGAGAGGTCCATTCAAAAAACTGATAACAGTAGGGAAGAAGCTGTTCTTGAATCTGTTTGTACGTGTATTCAAACGTTTATATCTTTGGCCTAACGGAAGAGGGTGGAAGAGAGTATAACTGGGGTGGGAGGGATCTTTGATTATGTTGGGTTTCCTTCCGGAGGCAGCAGTAAGTGTAGATGGAGTCAGTGGATGCAAGGCTGGTTTGTGTGATGGACTGGGCTGTGTTCACGACTCTCTGTAGTTTCTTGCGGTCTTGTTTGGTTGCTGCTTGTCATTCCCAGGAGTCGGTGAGGGAAGCCCTTCCAGATCTGCTGAGTTTCTCCAGCATGTCCCGCTGTTATTTCAGATTTCCAGCATGCGCAGTATTTTGCGCTTACTTTGATGCTTCAGGAACAAGGGTCCAAATCTCATCATCGCAGCTGATGGGCTTCAAATTCAGAACAAATATCGGGAATTATTCTCAGGAATGGCAATCACCAATTGTTGTTTTTAAACAAAAGCTTGTGTTCCTTTAAATCATTTAGGAGGGGAAATCTGCCATCCTTACAGGAGGCTGCTGAGTAAGACGAGGGCCTATGGTGTTAGAGGCAAGGTGCTCGCATGAATAGAAGATTGGCTGTGTGGCAGAAAGCAGAGAGTGGGGATAAAAAGGTCCTTCTCAGGATGGCAGCCAGTGACAAGTGGTGTTCCGCAAGGGACCACAACTCTTCACTTAATATATTAATGATCCAGATGAAGGAACTGAGGGCATTCTGGCTAAGTTTGCAGATGATAAAAGATAGATAGAGGGACAGATAGTATTGAGGAGGCAGGGAGGCTGCAGAAGGATTTAGACAGATTAGGAGAGTGGGCAAAGAAGTGGCAGATGGAATAAATTGTGGGAAATTGTGAGGTCATGCACTTTAGTAGGAAGAATAGAGGCATAGACTATTTTCTAAATGGGGAGAAAATTAAAATCTCTGAAGTGCAAAGGGACTTGGGAGTCCTAGTCCAGAATTCTCTTAAGGTAAACTTACAGGTTGGGTAGGTAGTTAGGAAGGCAAATACCATATTTGCATTTATTTCAAGGGGACAAGAATATAAAAGTAGGGATGTACTTCAGACCACATTTACAACATCGTGAGCAATTTTGGGCCCTATACTTCAGGAAGGATGTACTGGCCCTGGAGTGGGTCTAGAGGAGTTTCATAAGAATGATCCCAGGAATGAAAGGCTTAACATATGAGGAACGTTTGAGGAGTCTGGTTCTATAGTCATTGGAGTTTAGAAGGATGAGGGGGGATCTAATTGAAACTTACAGAATACTGAATGGCCTGGACAGGGTGGATGTTGGGAAGATGTTTCCATTAGCAGGAGAGACTAGGACCTGAGGGCACAGCCTTAGAATAAAGGGAAGACCCTTTAGAACATAAATGAGGAGAAACTTCGTCAGCCAGAGAGTGGCGAATCTATGGAATTCAGTGCAACAGAAGGCTGTAGAGGCCAGGTCATTGAATATATTTAAGACAGAGATAGATAGGTTCTTGATTGTCAAGGGGATCAAGAGTTGTGGGGTTGAGAAACTTATCAGCCATGATTGAATGGCGGAGCAGATTCGATGGGCCGAGTGGCCTCATTTCTGCTCCTATGTCTTATGGTCTTATCCTTGTCCAGTCTGGCTGATGTGACTCCAGACCCACAGCAATATTATTGATTCTTAACTGCCCACAAGGATGGCTAAGCAAGCCACTTTGTTCCAGGCTTGTACAACAATTATTGATCTTGTCATTAATGCCCACGTCCCCTAAAAGAGAGAGATGCTGATTTCTGCGCTGCTGAGACTGGGAGATAGGGGGTGCTGTCTAGGAAGAGGAATGATGCAGGATGGAGCACTGGGAGGTTGGCAACAGTTCTGGAGTCCTCCTTCATTGGACCCTCCAAGAAGTGAAGGTATGTTGGAGCGGTGCTCTCAGGAGATGAATTGGGTGGTGTCGATGGGCTCGGCTCGGTTTTGTATATGGCCAGTAGGAGTGAGCTTGTGGGATGTGGCCTTGTGCGTGAATGTTTTATCTTCTGTTTCTGTTTCTGCCACCAGGATGAAGAAGGTGATGATTCCGAGGAAACTCTGGACCTTTATCAACAGAGTCTCGGGGAACTGCTGCCCATGTTGGCGAGTGAGTGGATCTGTCTGGAGGGAGGTCTGGGAAGGCAGTCGTTTATAATGCAGCCCTGGAACAGGCTTGAGGGAGGGCTGAATGGCCTCCCCTATTCCTGTGTTTCTAGCCCATCAACAGACCCATAATTGCCCAGCGAGCAGTTAAGAGTCAGCCAGATTTTGGAATTATAAGTTTTAAAGTGAGGGGGGAATGATTTAAAAGAAACCTAAGGGGAAACCTTTTCACACAGAGGGTGTATGGAACGAGCTGCCCGAGGAAGTGGTGGGGGCTGGTACAATTGCGACATTTAAAAGGCATCTGGATGGATATATGAATAGGAAGGGTTTAGAGAGATATGGGCCAAATGCTAGCAAATGGGACTGGATTAATTTAGGATATCTGGTTGACATGGACGTGTTGGACCAAAAGGTCTGTTTCCGTGCTGTACATCTCTGACTCTATATGTAGACCAGACCAGGTAAAGATAGCAGATTTCCTCCCATCTATAAAGGTCATATTGATGACCCAGATGAGTTTTTTTTTGTGTGATAATTGACATTGTTACTTGGTCACCATTAGGTCAGCTCTTTGTTCTACATTTTATTAGATTTAAATCTCACCAGCTGCAATGGTGGGATTCAAACTCATGTCCCCAGCGCATTGGCCTGGGATTCTGAATTGCTGGGCCAATGACATTGCCACTGTGCCATTACTCCCCGAATGCGTGAGCTTTGGCTGATATTTGACATGGAAGGACGGTGTGGGCTGACTTAGTAAACTCCAAAGCAGTTAGTCTTTCCCACACATCTACCAGCAATCTTTCTACTCGTGTTCCTGTGAACTTTAGGACGTTTCATTGTTGTTAAGGGTGCCATTCAAATGCAATTAGTTGTTGTACTACAATACCACCCACAAGAAATAGGAGCAGGAGGAGGCCACTCGGCCTGTAACACCTGTTCTGCCAATTCACCTTGGATCCTGCCTGAGCTTGGGCCGCAACTCCATTTCCCCACCTGCTCCCCCAATTGCTAGATTTCCCCGAGAGATCTGAGGTCCGTCTGTAACCATAGCCATCTGTGGTAGAGGATTCCAAAGATTCACAACCCTCTGAAGGAGCCAATTCTCTTTCCCCTTAGTCCATAAAAGGTCAGCCCCTTACTTTGGAACGGTGCTGCCAACACCCAACCTGCTCTGGATTCCCCGACCACGTCAAATAATCTGTCAGAATCGACCAAGTCAAGCCCATTCAGGTTTTTTTGTATTTCAATGATGTCATCTCTCTCCTTCTAAAACTCTCTGGAGGATTACATCTGAATTAAGATGGTGGCACCGGTAAGGTAGTGTTTGGGCACCTAAGCCCATCTGCTCCAGGCAGGTGGAACCCTTTTCTCTCTCTCTCTCTCTCTCCTTTTTGTTATTTTCTCTTCTTCTTTTATTTCTTCACCTTTGAGGCTGCAGTGTTATTGGCGTGGAGCAGGATCCCCTGGCTGCAGTAGGCCTGGGGCGAGGGCGTGGGGGGTGTGCCTGGCTGCGGTAGGCCTGGGGCAGGGGATGTTGGGAGCCCTGGCTGCGGTAGGTCCAGGGCAGCGGGGGGGGGAGCCCTGGAGGTCTGGAACACTTGGCAGAGACCATGCAGATGCCATGGAGCATGCATGAGACTCAATTTGAACAAGAGATTAACTCTTAATAAGTAATTTCATTTTATTCCTTTTGTAACTCAGAATGGTGTTGAATTGTGACAAAACACTTTTCACTGTATCTTCCTAGATATATGTGACAATAAAAAATATCATTAATTCATTGCCTGATAGGATAACCCCATCATTACAAGGAATGATTTAATAAATATTGGCTGTGCTGCCTCTTAGATATGGAGATCAGAATCGTGCACTGTATTCCAGATGTGGTCTCATCAAAACCCTGTACAAATTTAACAAGTCTTCCTTATTACTGAACTCCAGTTCACCCTCCAGATTTCTTGCTGAACCTGCAGGTAGATTGACTGTTTTGGCTGATTTGAGCTTGTGGTTAAAACTATACAAATCAGCGATCGATTTTGTGACCTGAGTGCTTTGGTTTTACACAAGTTGTCGTCACCCTTCACTTTAGGAGCCCGACTGACTGGCTGTGCCTTTCGAACACTTGACTTGCAGGACAGAAGGAAGCCATTCGGCCCGTTGTGTCTGCTTGGGTCTCAAATGAATAATACATCTGGCGCCATTCCTGCACCTTGTCCCTATAATCCTCCTTTTCAGATATTAATCCACTTCCTTCTTGAGTGCCTGAATGGAACCTGCCTCCATCACCCACTCAGGCAGTGCATTCCAGATCTCAAACCATGAGGAAGACTTTCCTCATCGCCATGGCTCCTTTTTGGCAGTTATTTTCAACCTGTGCCCTCTCGTCCTGTTTCCGTTGGTGGAAGGATCAAGTTTTTCCTGTATACGCTGTCCAGATCTCTCATGATTTTGAATGCCACTCAACTTTATAAAGTCATAGAGTCGTACAACACAGAAACAGACCCTTCAGTCCAACAAGTCCATGCCAAACATAATCCCAAACTAAACTAGTCTCACCTGCCTGCTCCTGGGCCATATCCCTCCAAACATTTCTTATTCATGTACCTAGCTAAATGTCTTTTAAACATTGTAACTGTATCTCCGTAAACCACTTCCTCTGGGAGTTCATTCCACAAAAATGTTGTCCCTCATGTCTTTTTTAAATCTTTCTCCTCTCACCTTAGAAATATGCCCCCCTCCTCATGAGAACCCCACCTTAGGGAAAAGACACCCGCCATTCACCTTATCTATACCCCTCATTATTTTATAAACCTCTATAAGGTCACCTCTCAACCTCCTACACTCCAGCAAAAAAAAGACCCAGCCTCTCCTTATAATTCAAACCTTCCATTCCAGGCAACATCCTGGTAAATCTCTTCTGAACCCTCTCCAGCTTAATTATCAAATTTCCTCTTGACCTTCTCTTCGAGTTGGCCGTCACTCTATCGGACTAGTCTCCACATCACAGTAAAAAAACAAACTCTTTCTTAACTCTATTACAGGTGAGCCACAGGGCAGAAGACGAGTGATTTTACATAAAGAGGTAAGTCTAAATCCCTGGCCTATTCAGCTCACAGGTTCAGCGCAAGTTTATTGACAAAATTTACTGTTTGCATTTGAATTGAATCACGCATGTTGTTTGTTCGTTTTTTTGGTTCTGAATAAGTACTACAAGTATCTTCAAACATTCTAAACCTTTTCCCCTCGCAATTTCCTCAGGTTCAGAACCTCATGAGCCGAGCTGAATACCTGAAGGAACAACTCAAGGTTAGGCTGATTGTTTGTTGATGGGAAGTGAAAAATGAAAAGTGAAATGGAATACTGACCCTGGGTTTGTGCAATGATTTGCCTTAGTGTGGAGCTGGGAGCTGGCACCAGTAACCTGGAGCTGTCAATGTCCAAAAGACACCAGCGAGATTATAACACATGCTGTGTGTATGAAGCTAGTTTCCTCATCAAAAATACGAACATAGAGTACAGTGTTAAACTAAACGGCTAGTGCATTTGATCCACAATTCATTCTCTTTTCTTTTCCTCTCCCCCTCCTTCCTTTCCTTCTTTTCTCTTCTCCTTTCCCGCTCTCTCTCTCTCTTCTCTCTCCTTTTACTCTCTCTAATTTTATTTCTCTCCTCTTTTTCTCTCTTGGCTCGCTCTCTTTTTCTTTTTTTCTCTCTCTCTGTCCTTTCTCTCTGTCTTTTTCCTCCATCTTTTCTCTGTCTCTCTCCTCTCCTTTTTTCTCTCTCCTCTTGCTTTCTCTATTCCCTTACTTTTTCTGTCCACTTTCTTTCTTTGCTTTGTTTTCTCTTCCCATTTCGCTCCTCTTTTCTGTCTCCTCTCCCCTCCCTCTCCCTTTTATTCTCTCTCCCTCCTACTTCTCTCTTGCTCTATTGTCTTTCTTTCTCTCCTTCACCTTTCTGTCACTCTCTGTATCCCTCTGTCTCTCTCTCTTTACAGTCCACCCATCTGAGGGATTTCCAACTATTTTCACATAACGTAATGGATGCTGGGCCATCCCAGCATCCACTGCAGCAGTGCAAGTCCCTAGGGAAACCTTTGGGCTCCCAAAGTTTTCACTGGGACCTTTCAGGACGACATGAATGGGCCAGCATTGCAATCTGTAGGCTTCCATTCAACAGTAAAGAGACCAAACCCAGATGGGTGAGAAATGGTGATTTCAGTGATGATCCAGTGACTGAATGGCTTGCCCCTCAATCTGAGACTATATCTCATGGCCCGAGATCCCTTCCAGCCAGGGGAAACATCATTCCCGTGTCTACCCCAACAAACCCTCTAAGAATTTTGTAAGATTCAATGAGATCACTTCTCATGCTTCAAATCCCTTGATGATACAAGCCGAGTCTCCTCAATCTGCCCTTAAAGGGAGTTAAGTCATGGATTAGCCTTCGTCTCATTGAGGCCATTCAGCCCCTCGGGCCTGTTCTGCCATTCCTTCGCTCCTCCTCTTCCTGAAGGGTTACTTTAGCATTTTTGTCGATCGTTTTTTTGGGTGCGGTCATGTCAAAGTGAATTTTATTGTTTTGTCTTCCTCAGATGAGAGAGACTCAGAAAGAGGCAGCTACTATGGATCAGGATCCGTTCTCGGAGTCCGTCAAAAGCAGTGAGTAAATAAAGACCTGCTACGCTTCTTCCTCTCACTGTTTAGTGTGGCCTGACTGTCACAAGCTGATCCTTGATTGAGTTCAGTGCAAAGCCTGGGGAATGTTGGCTATTTATCCTTGACGTGGGCAACTGAGGGCTGGCCCGATGGAAGCTCAGTCAGTATCACTGTGGACTCCAATCCGAATTCCCTTCCAGTACGGTTCTAAGCTGGTACTGAGGGATTGCTACATTGCCTTGGGTGCCACATCTTGAATTAAACATTGATAGGGCAGTCTTGGAGTCGGGAGTGTGAGACTGGATGGTGACTACAAGAGGGGAAGAAGGCTTGTTCAAAGTGGTAGGTTTTAAGGAGTTTCCTAAAGGAGAACAGAGAGGCTTGTTTCCACCTCTGTTGCCATAATACAGTGGACAGAGGAAGTCACCAGCGGTGGTGTCCTTAACTCTGGGCCAGAAGATCCAGGTTCAAGTCCTACCTGCCTCTTTTTAAAAAAAAAATAAAAATGTGGGAAGAGGAACGCAGAAGGAAAGTAGCTCACTCTTTCTAAAAAAAAACAAAGAGCTGTGGATTAAAAACAGAAATGGCTGGAAAAGCTCAGCAGGTGCAGTGGCAGCTGTGGAGAGAAATCAGAGTTAACGTTTTGGGTCCAGTGACCCTTCCTCAGGACACTGGATGTTGGAAATCAGAAACAAAAATCGGGAATTGCTGGAGAAACCCAAGTAGGTCTGGCAGCATATGTGGAGAGAAATTAGAGTTAACGTTTCTAAGAAGGGTCGCCAGACCCAAAACATTAACTCTGCTTTCTCTCCATTGATGCTGCCAGACCTGCTGAGTTTCTCCAGCAATTTTTGTCTTTGTAAAAATGGTGGGGGGGGGGCGGGGGGGGGGGGGGGGGGGGGGGGGGGGCAGTAAGGGCATGGTGGCAAGGAGGAGTTCTACTCCTCCCCAAAACCAGATCGCCCTCCCTTTTGTGCATTTCTCCTTGGACTCTGAAACCCGACCTCCTCCCCCTTCAACAGTGTCCCCGGTCCCAGCCTGACTTCCCCATAAGTCCAGCATCCATGGACTTCTCCTTGTGGTTCCAGCCACAGCCACTACTGTGTTCTGGCGCTGCTGAGGCCACTTGGATGGCAAATCCCGAGCAGGAGAATCCATTGCACTGAGGGGTCGGGTGGAGCAGAAAACCCCCCCCACTCAACTCGTTTAGGTCACCCCCATCGTATCACCTTGAAGTTTTGAAGCTGTTTCTTCCTACTGGGTTGGAGGAAAATGGGGGACGGTGATGAACACCATCTCCACCCCCCAAACTATGCAAAATTCACCCCATTGAGTTCTAGAAGTTCATCTCTCTCTCCCTCTCTCTCTCTCAATAGAGAAACTGTGTACAGTTTTGATCTCCTTACTTGAGAAAGGATGTACTGGCACTGGAGGGGGTGCAGAGGAGGTTCACTAGGTTGATTCCGGAGTTGAGAGGGTTGGCTTATGAGGAGAGATTGAGTAGACTGGGGACTATCCTCATTGGAATTTAGAAGAATGAGGGGGGTTCAAATTATGAAGGGGATGGATAAGATAGAAGCAGGGAGGCTGTTTCCACTGGCCAGTGAAACTAGAACTCGGGGGCATAGCCTCAAAATAAATGGGGAGCAGATTTAGGTCTGAGTTGAGGAAGAATATCTTCACCCAAAGGGTTGTGAATCTGTGGAATTCCCTGCCCAGTGAAGCCGTTGAGCCTACCTTGTTGAATGTTTTTAAGGCAAAGATAGATTTTTGAACAGTAAAGGAATTAAGGGTTATGGTCAGGGAGAGGGTAAGTGCAGCTGAGTCCATGAAAAGATCAGCTATGATCTTATTGAATGGTGGAGCACGCTCAATGGGCCAGATGGCCTACTCCTGGTTCTTATGTTAAATGCAAGGTTGAGCTTTTGAAAACTGAGATGTTGGTCGATTGAGAATCATTGTGGGGACCAGCGAGCATGTGGGGGCAGTGTGAGAGTGGGCTTCAGTGGGATTTTAGGTACAGGCCACAGGGGCTCGGAGACAATCTGCATTTATTTACGAAGTCCCAAATATAATGGGCCTATCTTCAGTGACATGGAGTGACCATGCCTACATGCACTTGACAGAAGATGATGCATTGACTTTTATGAATGGATGACTAATAGGTTCCACAATGCTGAGAGACAGAGAGAGAGGTCTCATCAAGTTATTAGTGGAGCTGACTACAAGGCCAAAGGCTAGAAGATCACCTCATTGGCAAAGGGCTGCAGCTAAATATAAATTTGATTTATTCGTGATTCTCTGTGCTGAAGTAAGACATGTTGTCAGTGTTTAATTAAAATTGCCAGAGTGGAATCAATGAGGAAAACACTGACAGAGAGTTAATTAACCCCTTGTCTCACTGTCTCCCCTTGTTCTGACTGTCACCTTCCCTCCTCCCAACATTGTCTCTGTCAAGTAAAAGGTCGTTTTCTTGCAGAATGTTCAGTCTTCACAATGTGGGGGCCACATGCGGTGGGTGGGGATTACATGTTCCAGTGGTTATCCAGCTTGCAGTGGAGCTTTTCACGTGAATGATGTCTTCGCCTTAGGTGACCCCCATCCACCTTTAAAAAGAAAGTTTGGATTTTTTAGTACAGTTAAACATATCATAGGGGCATCGAGCCACATGAAGACAGGTCAGAGAGATGCTCAAAGAGATATGTTTTAGGAAGTGACTTAAACCAGCTGGAGAGGTGAAGCAGTTTAAGGGGGAATTCCAGATGGTAGGATAAATACTTCTGAAGGAACAACCATCCAGCAGTGAAGCAGTTTAAACTGGCAGAAGGTGACAGGGCTTGCGGTGATGTCACTGGAATAGTAATCGAGAGGCACAGGCTAAAACTCTGGGCATGAGTTCAAATCCACCATGTTCTGCTGGTGGGTTTTTTTAAAATTAATTCATGGGAGGTTGGCATTGCTGGCTAGGCCAATATTTATTGCCCATCCCCATAACCCTTGAGAAGGTGGTGGTGAGCTGCCTTCTTGAATCGCTGCAGTCCATGTGCTGTAGGTAGACCCACAATGCCCTTAGGGAGGGAGTCCCAGGATTGACCCAGTGACACTGAAGGAATGACAATATATTTCCAAGTCAGGACGGTGTATGCCTTGGAGAGGATCTAGCAGGGGCTCCCACGTATCTTCTACCCTCATCCTTCTAGGTGGAAGTGGTCTTGGGTTTGGAAGGTACAGTCTAGGGAGCCTTGGTAAATTTCTGCAGTGCATCTTGTAAATTGTACACACTGCTGCTACTGAGCGTTAGTGGTGGAGGGAATAAATGTTTTTGAATTTGGTGCCAACTAAACAGGCTGTTTTGTCCTGGATGTGTCAAGCTTCTTGAGTGTTGTTGGAGCTGCACTCTCCCAGGCAAGCGGGGTGTATTCCATTAAATTCCTGACTTGTGCCTTGTAGATGGTGGACAGGTTTTGGGAGTCAGGAGGTGAGTTACTCATTGCAGGATTCCTAGCCTCTGAGCTGCCCTTGTAGCCGCAGAGTATATACCTAGTCCAGTTCAGCTTCTGACCATCCAACCCTGCCCCCAGGTATTGCTAGTGAGAGAATAAGCATGAATATTATGGGGAGAAAGGCAGATCCTCTCTTGTTGGGAGACAGTCATTGTCCAGCACTTGTGTGACACAAGTGTTACTTACCACCTTTCAACTCAAACCTGCTTATTGTCCAGGTCTCACTGCATTTAGGCGAGGACTGTTTCAGTATCCAAGCAATCACAAACGGTGCAGAACATTTAGAAATCTGCCATCCTGGCCTATGATCGATGGCTCAGTGGTTAGCACTGCTGCCTCACAGCAACAGGGACCCTCGGGCGACTGTCTGTACAGAGTCTTCACTTCTCCCGTGTCTGTGTCGGTTTTCTCCAGTTTTGTCCCACAGTCCAAAGATGTGCAAGTTAGGTAGATTGGCCATGCTAAATTGCCTGTAGTGTTCAGGGATGTGTACATTAGGTGTGTTAGCCAGGGGAAATGCTAGGTTGCAGGGATAGGGTGGGGGTGGGGGTCTGGGTCTGGGTGGGATGCTCTTTGGTGGGTCAGTTTGGGCTGAATGGCCTGCTTCCACACTGTAGGGATTCTGTGATGTGGCCCAGATGCACAGCGATGTGGTTAACACTTTACTGCCCTCAGTTCAGGGGCAATCAGGAATAGATAATAAATGCTGGACTTGCCAGTGGCACCAACATCCTATGAAAAACAAGAGAAAAATATTGGGAATTTGCAAGAGTTCGGAATTGGAGGAATGCAAATAGCTGAGAGTTCTGCTACAGAACTACTTTGTGAGAGTGCTACAGGAGAATGATATTGGGCTTGAAAAGGTAACTCTGTTTCTCTTTCCACAGAGGCTGCCAGGCCAGCAAATATATATTTTAAAAATATCACTTTTTGAAATGATGTCAGATTGTAGACAGCAATTACCTGCAGATTTGCTGGGCTGCCAAATTTGCAATTTGCCACAGAATTCATCATGTAACTGGTGCTGGGGAGAAAGGCTGGTCCTAAGCAAAATCAATAGCGATGTACAATTCTATAACTCCTTTGTGGTAGTGTGATGTCCCCCCAACCAATGATCTACTATCACTGACCATGATTGGGTGGTGGTCTCGCGCAC